TGGGTAGAGTCAGGGTTTAGGGTTTAGGGTAGAGCTTCAGGGTTTAGGATTTAGGGTAGGGCTTTAGGGATTGGGGGTTACACGGTTTTCCGAACACGACGACAGTTCTGCATTTCGCGACCACAAAAAACAAGAAGTCACAAGCGAACCAAATTGAGAAGTCACAAGCGAACCCCGGGAGAAGTCACAAGCGAACCCTCTACCGCTCAAGGTATTACCTTTGGGTTTAGGGTTTAGGGTTTTTGAGGGTTTTGGGTTTGGGGATATATTACACCAATAGTGGAGAATGGAATGGAAAGGGAAACAAGGGATGGAAACTGGGGCCACATGGTGCTGCGAATGGGTCAGGGTGTCGGAAATTAGGAGTTTCTTTGGGGGTCCCTATAATTGGGTTTGTATGCTCAGGCCTCCCCCCCTGCCCCTTGCCCACCTTCCCCAGAAACGTTCTTCCTCTGTCGCTTGCTGGGCAGTGGTGGATCACAAGACCCCCACCCAAGTCCAGTCTTCAATGTTTAACTATTGTATCTTCCAGACGGTGGACGGGTCTGACAGGATTTCAAGCCTTTAAGCCCTAAAGCCTATAGTCCCCCTTAAGTAGATAGAATATGGTTTTGGGTATATTATAAGAAGATCCCCATATACCCCTTCTTCTATCTACTTAATGGAGACTATAAAGTTTTCAAATTGCTGGCCTGAGGCGAAATGGACTTGTCGTATGCAGCACGATATCCTGGCATCTACTGCCCCCCGAGCTGCATTCAGGGTTCACAGTGTTCAGGGCTTCGGGTTGGGGGTTTAGGTGTTCACCGTAAACCTCAAAGACTTACCATAGACCCTTTGCGGTTTAGCGTCCAGAGTTCGGGTTCAGGGAGCTTAGCTAAACTTACTACGGGTTAGCAGGGAATAAGGGAACATAGTATATAGGGATTATATACCTCTACTCCCTCCTAACCACCAGTAAAAGTAAGCCTCACATCCCAAATCCTAAATCCCAAACCCTAGACCCGGCTCTCAATGCTAAGCCTGGAGCGCACTAGCCCGGTCAAGGCCCTTCGGCATACACTCGCTTGATCCTTGCTGGCATCCGCGGTCAGTCCGAAAGTCTCTTGAAAGCAACCCCAAGGGTCCATAATATGTAGGTATATGGGAGGGTTTAGGGCTTAGGGGTTTTAACTAGGGTCCCCTTTGGTACCGCTGAATATTAGGTGCCGTAATATAACTCATGACCACAAGGGGCCCATAACGTTTGAGAATAACTAATAAAGTCTATATACATATTGCCCAAAAGGGTTCCTGCACAATTACTTTAGGCGGCCCAGGTATATACTATAGGTCACCTATATGGACCCTTTTGGAAATGTGTCAGTGGGCTGAGGGCTAGGAGTTTGTAAGTCTGGGAGTTTGGGGTAGAGGAATGACCCATGAGGCCTGACAAACCTCACCCCCGGGATATGATGAATGGCAGTGGGCGTCAACATCGTGGTGGGGGGGTCTGTGTTAATTAGAGTTTAGAGTTTAGGGTTTCAGGGTTCAGGGTATTTGCAAATAGTACAGGAGGGAAACTGGGGCATCATGAATTTGGTCAGATGGTACGGCTGACGGGGGAATCCTGCATCACCTGATGTTCTCTGTGTCTAAGGAGTTGCGGTAGTCTATAGGCCCTAGGTAAAGCAAGCCTCCCGCCTTCCACAGTACATAGTCCCCCTTCAGTAGATGGAATTTGGGGTATATGGGGATCTTATTGTAATATACCCAAAGCCATATTCTATCTACTGTGGGGTTATATAGGGGATTATAAAGGGGGCTATTATGGGTATAGGGGATAGTAAGGGGGATATTGGGTTATATAGTAGGGGTTGAGGGTTTGCGAGAAGCGCTTGAGTAGCTACAGAGTGAGGCGCCTTCACTGCAGACCTGTCGTTTGCATTGTATGAGCCATGCACGGAACCCGCGAAGTCCTCCCGCCCGAAAATACATGTAATGAACAAAGTGAACAATCGAAAGGGTCTATGTGGGTAGTAGCATATATCGTGAGTCCCAAAGTGGTTCCCAATAGTATCATTACCCTGAGGCCGCAGTATATACCATCTAGCGCGTGGAGCTTGTGCATTGTTCCTGCGGGCCCTAGACCCCAAACTCTTGAATCCTACCGTTAAGCACCGCTGGGCTAGGCTTCGTGCGAGATGACGAGCTCATGTGCTCCTGGGAACTGTTCACGCCATTTCTGGAGCCTGAGGCGTTCATTCAATGTTTTTCCTTAAGCCCTCCCTACACGCTGGTTTAGAGTAGTCTTTTGAGGTTCCTGACAACCATCCTAATCAAAAGGGATAACCACCCATCCCCCCCCCAAAAAAAAAGTATGCAATCCCCAACCCCTCCCACATCATAGGGTTTATGGTTTTCGCTTTTTTTTTCAGCTCCCTTTGTGGTCGACTCCGCCCATACCTGATATCTTACTAAGGGTGGAAGTATGGGCCCGCAGTATGGGCCTTAGGCCTTCTAGGGGGATTCTAGGGAG